AAAAGGAAGAGTTTATGGGAAAATTCATGTATTAAAAGACTCAAGACACACACTGACTAAATACATGCATAGACCTTACTTGAATATTGATTTTCAAAAAAGTAAAAAAAATGGAGACATTAGAGAATATTTGAACACTGAATGATGATACTGACAAAATAGGTTATTTTAAGTATGATAACAACTATATCATTTTTTTTGTTTTGTTTTTGTGCTGGGAATTGAACCCAGGGCCTTGAACATGCTACACAAGCATTCTATCATCGAACTACACACTCTGCATTTTTAATGTTCATTTTTTATTTTTATTTTTGCAGAATTGGATTGAACCCAATGATGCTCTGCCAGAGATACATCCCCAGCCTCCACTTTAAACTTTTTTTTTTTTTTTTTTTTGTGATGAAAGTTCTCACTAAATTGCCCAGATTAGCCTCAAACTTGTGGTCTTCCTGTCTAAGTCTCCCTGGTTGTTGGAATTAGAGGTGTGATGTTAGTTTATTTTTTTTTAAAGAAAACTCCTTATAACTCATAAATATTTTGATAAAATGCAATTTATGGTATCTGTTTCACAATAATCTTGAACAGGGGTCAGGGGAAGAGATATAAACAAAGATTAACCCTGAGTTAATAAATATTGAAGCTGTGTACATGGAGTTAATTTTTCTATTTTCTCTATTTTTGCATGGGTTGGACATTTTGTAAAATAAACTTATTCCTTAAATAAGGGAGATTATAAAACTGATGGGAAGCTCTGATGACATGATTTGGACTTGGTGATCTTCACTGTAGGTTATATGGCTGGGTCACCTGCTGAGAAACTCCTTATGTATTTTTAGGAGATACATTCCCTTGGTTAGATTTCTCACAGAAAATTTATTCTAATCTTGCCCAAAGCCTGACCCTCAACTTTCTGGGGGACAAGGAGTGGAAAGCTGGCTGGTGATGTGGGCATTTATTGAATGCACATGTTCATTCAATGCTCCTTTTTCAAAACTTAATTCCTGCCCTCAGTTGCACAGCCCACATCTTTCGTTTTGCCTTTTTCAGAAAATAAGGTTCCAGTCTTCTGTGTATAACACTTATAATTAGAAAAAAAAAGGGGGGGGTTTCCTAGAAAAAATATACTTGAAAAAAAAAAAAGGGTGAGGACCTAGGACTCAGCTTGCTTCCTAAATAGTTCACAATTAATTCTCATTTTAGTCCCTTCATTCTTACTTTCAGGGTTACCTGGTGTCACCCATTCTTGAACCTTTTAAGGATTTTTTAAAAAAAACAACCTTTTTTTAAAAAATTAATATGTGGTGCTGAGGATCGAACCTAGGGCCTCATCCGTGCTAGGAAAGTGCTATATCACTGAGCCACAACCCTAGCCCCAACTTTTTAAGGATTCTATGATGCAAAATAGACTCGTTCTTGTCTCTTGCAATAAAATTTGGCTTTGTGGATTTGATTAACATTACTACTTATCCACTTTTCAGTTTCCCCAATTTTGTACTTACCTATTCCATCATTATTCCTGTGCATGAAAGTGTTTTTATTTTTTAAAAGAAATTCTTATTTTAAAGTATTTTTAGTTGTAGAGGGACACAATGCCTTTATTTATTTATTTTTTATGTGGTACAGAGGATTGAACCCACTGTCTTACACTTGCTAGGTAAGTGTTCACTGAGCTACAACCCAAGACCCTAAAATAAATCCTTTACTGTAGCATCAGTGCAGTTTTTAGAGAGAGCAAAAGCAGAAATATATATTCAAGTTACAATTGTTACCAAGCTTATCACCCTTTTAAAATTAAGTGTTTATTCTCCACTTCTGTGAAGGTAAAGATCTTATACATTCAATGTTTTTAGTGAAAATTTTCTTTACATTTAGAATGTAATTAGGTTAAAAAATGGAGTTTTACTTGGTGATTTTTGTTTTGGTAACTCTTCAGTATTAGAACTATTAGGGTTTTAAGCAACAGGATTTATTTTTTTTGTGTGTGTGGTCCTAGGGATTGAACCCATGGACACTCAATCATTGGGCCACATCCCCAGCACTTTTAAATTATCATTATTTTTAAAAATTTTGAGACAGGGTTTTGCTAAGTTGTTGCTTAGGGCCTTGCTAAGTTGCTGAGGCTGGGCTTGAACGTGTAATCCTCCTACCTCAGCCTCCCAAGCCGCTGGGATTACAGGCATATGCTGCTCCCAGCTAACACTAATGGGTTTTATTATCTATTATTTATTATCTGACTCATAAATTCCTTAAAAAGTATGCCTACCAAACTTAATACTTTATGGCAATCGATTCCAGTTCTCTTTTAAATGTACAGAAATGTCTTTTTGTAGTGTCTACCCATGAATTGTAGTTCTATGTCCTTGGATAGTTGCAGAACACAATTAACCCATTGCTTATAAAGTAGTCCTTCAAAAACCTCAAAACAAATCAAAAACTTCTTTTTCCACCCAGTAAAATACCTGAAATTTTCTCAAATGCTTTCTCACTAGATTCATTTTAAATGTTCTAGAAACATCAAAATATTCCTGGATGTCAAATTAGTAATTTGAAGTTTCTTACACTAAGACTGAGATTTAATCAGGGGTTTTTAAAGTTAGTATCAGGATCATAGAAATATTTTGGGGTGACAATGGTCATGTTGAAAATGGATTGAAGAAGATAGAGTTTAGAGGCAATCTGTTTTGGGTTCCATATAGAGGTTTCTTAACTTTCATAACAGAATGTTAATTTGTCACCTCCTCCAGCAAGCTGTGTCTGAAGGTTTTGATTCTCCAACTAGCTAAGCTATCTAAACAAAACAGCAACATTTCAGGATGGTCCAGAACTTAAACTGGAATTTCTAGCTTGATAGATTCTGATAAAACACTAACTAAAAGAAGTGATATTAAGGGATATACTATATGGTTCTCAAGCAGGGCTGAGGATTCTGATTTCAAAGTCCAAATGCACAACAAATGAATATTTTCCAAAGGCATATATATGCATCATAAATGATCAAAACTTTACACTCTAGAAGAGAACATTTCATCATTAAGCATCAAAGCACAACTACCTCCATATGTGCACACATGGGGGAAGAGTGTGGTCTGTGAAATTTGTTGGTCATCAAATAAAAGGTTCTCTTATCAAAAATTATGGAAAACCACTGCCAATTTCCAGACACATTACATTAAGTTCTGTTCTTAAATCATGTTTTATCATCTGAAAGCCAGATATACAGTTTTATGCTTTATAGAAACAATTTTAACTGAATACATCCTAAATGTTTTCATCAACAAACAATATAAGTGGCCATATAAAACTATTGCTAATTTTCTGTAGATACTGAATCTGAGAAATAATGCTTTCATTTATAACTTTTGTATAATAAACCATAGTTCACATGGAATTTGTTACTAGAAAATTTTATCTCTTGAATTCCTTGTCTATTTTACTAGATATGTAACCATTTTCCAAAACATTCTCTGTGAAACAACATAATCCATGAAGATGCTCCCCTAAACAAAGATTCTATGGTTAATTATTTTTGGAAAGCAATGTTTTCATAGGTTCCTAGTGGACAATGTTTTTATAGATTCAGAATGGACATCAACATATTATAGGCCTTCAGAAATTTCTTTTAATTAGTGTGTTTTAATTATACAGAAAAATGGGTTAGGCCCTGAAAAATCTTTAAGGGAACAACAACAAAATGACAAAACACACAACCTTACCTAATCAGAATTTCCTAAATTTATTATTTTTAAGAACACTAACTTATAAAACACTTTCAAGAAATTCTGAGAAATGCTGGGTAACCCATTGTTCATCTCTTTCTTTTAAACTACTGTGCGGAGGATGAAACCCAGGCCTGGAACACACTAACTAAGCACCCTGCCGCTGACAGTGTTCATCTCTTTACCAGTGAGAGAACTTAGGCTAAGTTCTCAATGATGTTAATAAAAACAAACAATTAATTTTTAACTTCTATTTTAATAGCCTTATTATGTCTTGGTATTTCATTCTGTCTGCAACAAAGGACACATAAAGTGATAATATTTAGAAGAGAAAGGGAAGGATATGAACACAGAGAATCTTGAAATATATATAAAAATATATTTGTAAGAGTATTTCATATGCTATGCAAATGAACATAGTAATATTTAAGAAATAAAGTTAGAAAAATTTTGTTGTATTTATAAGACTTCAAACTCTTTCCTAAGTAAATTGCTGCTTAACACTGTATTTCTGACTTATCTGTAATTCCTAAATCTACCCATTCTCTCACTTCCATTTTCACTCTGAAGCTTAGGAATCCTGATATACAATATAGAGAAGTACCAGTTTTAAGTTTAATACCTTGGCAAAAAATAATCAATGCTTATCAATTAAAAATGTTTTGTGTTGAACTGAGGTAAAACTTCATGCCAAAAGATTTGGTGTATGCATATGGGAATTGCCTAGGTAAGTCTAAACACTTGGGAGGATAATTTGTGCAGAATGTATTAGTCATATGATCCCGGACAAGTTCATTTCTTTTGGTACTGGGGTTGAACCTAGGGCCTTGCACATGCCAATCAAGTGCCCTACCCCTGAGCTATATCTCTGGCTTTTTTTTACTTTTAGATGAGTCTCACTTAATTGCCCAGACTGTCCTTGAATTTGGGATCCTCCTGCTTCAGCCTCTCAAGTAGCTGGGATTACAGGCGTTGTGCTACCTTGACTGGCTTTAAGCAAGTTTCTTAATCTTTCTATACCTCAAATTCTTCTTTTTATAGGAACATTGTATGGATTAAACAAATTATTTATTGTTATCTAGAAGTGTTTGACAGTGAGAGCCAGGCATGGTGGTGCATGGCTGTAATTCAAGTGGCTCAGGAGGCTGAGGATTGTGAGTTCAAAGGCAGCCTCAGCAACTTAGCAAGACTGGAAGCAACTCAGCTAGAACCTGTCTCTCTCTCTATATATAGAGTTTGGGATGTGGCTCAGTGGTTAAGTGTCCCTGGGTTCAAACCCCTATATCCCCCCCCCCCCAAAAAAAAAAAAAAAGTTTGATTAAACCCTTGAAAGTGACTGTGCTCACTGAAAAACAAACAAAAAAATATATAATTGTTTTTAAGAACACTAACTTATAAAACACTTTCAAGAAATTTTGAGAAATGCTGAGTAACCCATTGTTCATCTCTTTCTTTTATAAATTTAGTGAATACGTAAGATAAAGAAAGGATAAAGCCTCTGGGGGGGTGGGCGTGTCTCACAATTAGCAGTCAGGAAAACCCTATGTAGGAGAACAAGAAGGACCAGTCTAAGAGTTGGTAAGGAAATGGAAAGTTGTAAACAACAGAATCATTATAATCTGGCATGAATGGTCAAAATACTGATTACTGAGAAGGTCTGGGAAATGTTTACTGGAGAGAGGGATTTCCCATTCTCATCAAGCTCATGGCTTCTCCATACTCAAATGTTTTCTTTTCTTATGTCCAGTAAGATTGGAGCTCACCCTGAAAGCTTTGCCACACTCCTCACATTCATAAGGTTTCTCTCCAGTATGAAGTCGCTTATGTCCAGTTAAAGCTGAGTACTGACGGAAAGATGTGCCACACTCATAGCACGTATATGGCTTTTCACCAGTGTGGATTCTTTTGTGTTGCTTCAGTACTGAATTATGATGAAAGGCCTTTCCACAAATCTCACATGTGTAGGGTCTCTCTCCAGTGTGAATTCTTTGATGATTGGTCAAGTTGGACTTCCCACTGAAAGCTTTGCCACATTCCAAACATTTATAAGGTTTCTCTCCAGTGTGGATTCTTTGATGGATGGTAAGGCAGTGCCTATCCTGGAAAGTTTTCCCACAATCTCCACATGGATAGGGCTTCTTCCCTGTGTGTTCTAGTTCATGAGCCCTGCGCTTACAGTTATGACGGAAGGCTTTTCCACACTTCTCACACTTGTAAGGTTTTTCCTCATTGTGGATTCTTCTATGCTTCTTGAAATCTGCCTTGATACTAAAGGCTTTTCCACACTGAGGGCACCCAAAATGTTTCTCCTGAGTGTGGACTCTTCTGTGTTTGCTTAGGTCTGAGCTTTGACTGAAGGCCCTCCCACACTTGTTGCACTCATAAGGTCGCTCCCCAGTGTGGACTCTTTTGTGTTTGGTGAGATCTGAACTCCCTCTGAAAGCCTTCCCACACTCCTCACATTCATATGGTTTATCCCCAGTATGGATTCTGCCATGGGCAATAAGGGAATGCTTAAACTGGAAGTCCTTTCCACAGTCATTACATTTGTAAGGCTTCTCCCCAGTGTGGACTATCTGATGCACACTGAGACGTGTCCTGGTCTTGAAGGCCTTCCCACAGTCCTGGCACTCATAAGGCTTCTCTTCACTGTGGATTTTTTTATGTCTGCAAAGAGCTGATCTGCTGTTGAAGGCTTTCCCACAGTGTGTACAGTTAAAAGGTTTCTCTCCTGTGTGGATTATGTAGTGTACAGAAAATTGATTTCTGGTCTTGAAAGCTTTCCCACACTCTTTACAGACATGGGATTTCTCACCAGAATGAATTTGATCAAGGAGAATTAGGTCTGAATGCCAGCTGAATTTTTTGTCACATTTCGTATATTCATGAAGTTTTTGCTTTGTAAACACTCTATTATATGAAATATGTTTTGAGTTTGAATTAAAGATTTTTTTAAGTACCTTCTGGTTCTTTCCCTTTTTGAAGGTCACTTCTGTAGAGCCTTCTCTCACTTCTCTCAGTTCTCCCCTTACGAATGTTTCCCATTGATTTTCTAGTTTGACATCCTGCATACAAACTTCTCTAACTTCAGGATCCTGGGAAACAATATTTAGAAGACTGTTACATTTCACCCAGAAGACTTCTCTGTTTTCAAATACTTCTTGTTCTGAAGGTGCCTTCTCACTCCCAGGCCAAATCCTGCCTGTTGGTACTTAAAAGAGAAAATAAGACTGTCAGAGGAGAGAAAATAAGAAAATAAGATAGGAGAGGTGAAGCAATGTGAATCTGTTTGAAGAGTAAATGACATAAAAAAAAAAACAAATTAAAAATTTCTCATAAACACAAAAAAAGAGCAAATAACTTTCATGCTAGAAAAGTTACTAACATTGTGTCAAAGGTCAGGACATTATATGACCATTTTGTCACATTAAAGGGAAGAGACTGAAAGCTTCTCTATCATTCACCTGGGTAGGCTGAAACATTGAGAAGTATGAAGACATTTTAAACTTGGCAAACTTTATATAAAATCTTTACAAAAATACTCCTCTTCTACAGTCTCCTAGTTTAGTGAGCAGCAACTTCATACACCTAGCCACAACTTCATACACAAGCTAGAAAACTGAAAATCATCTTTATTTCCTTCTCCCTCCCCTCATATTTACTCAGCTAACATTTTACAAATTCTAATTATGAGGTGATCTGCTAAAGGGGTGCTGAAATCCTGATGCAGTCCCCTTTAAAAGAAGTATCTGCTTTGATCCTAAGAGTGGGTTCTGGATGGCCATATTTCTGCTGTGTGACTGTCCATTTGGGTGGGAAGGATTAGAGCTGGGTAACACTTTGATCCAAACCAGGCTAGATTCTCTCATCTTAGCCTTTGGAATAGTGATCTGAATGCAGGCAAGATCAGGCTCTGAGAGAAGTGGTGGCAGGAAAGTATATGACACAGGGGAGGGAATGTTCTGCCATTTGCTCTGATGGGCAAAAAAGATCAATTTGGCAGAAAAGAATGAAGAGAAACAGTTGGAGAGATAGGCCTGATTTAAGTGCCACGGCATACCCTGAATAAAGAGTTTATGTTCTTTTGCTTAGAGTAAATTTTTATTCTTGGCAACCAAACAATCCAAAATCAATCTCCCTTCTCCATTTCCACCTGTGCATTCTCACTAGCTATCTGTAATACCCCTCAAATGTCCTTTAGTCTGGTTCCCATTTAACATATACTCCACACTCCTTCCAAACCATTCTTTCTAATAATGTCACTCAACTTACAATACTTCAAATGGTACTCCAGAGTCACCCAGAAAGAAAGGAAGTAAAGCATACAGTCAAGAGCCCTAGCTGGGCTCAGATTCTAGTTCTGGTACCTAATAAATGTGTGAACTTGGAAGGATAACTTCAATTCTCTTGAGTCAATAGCTTTATCTATAAAATGGGATCATCTGTCCATAATTACATGAGTTAATGTATATAAAACACTTGCCATACTGATGTACTTAACCAATGTTAGTTACAAAGTTCAAGGCATGTAGCTTATCAAACACTCATAGAAAATCCTTCAAACCATGATCTTGCTTTTTTCTACTGCTCCTGAACTTTCTCTACAAATTACCCTAAGTTCTTTGCTCTGGTCATACTCTACTAGTCCAAGTTTATTTGTTTTATTCCACAATACTTTCTCACATGTTATTCCCTCTGCTTCAACTGCCTCTCTCCTCCTTCAACTTATTGCTCTCTGAGCCCTGCAATAACTCATATACAAAGAGGAAAGCAATTTTCTGAGCTTTCTAAAAGGGCTTAACTGCAAAAGGTTATTAGATAGATTGGAGGGGACCAATTAGATAATGAAAGACTACTACCCATGTTTGTTGCTGTTGTTTTCTTTTTCTTGAGTTGTAAATGGATTTCATTTCTGGGGCCTTCAGGATGGATGAACTATCACTAAGAACATTCTATAATCATTTTGTACATGGAAGACGATACGGAACTAAAAGCTTCATCATCACTCACCTGGGAAGGAGCAGCTCAGGAACCTCCCGTACTGTAGATCCTGAACACATGGCTCTGCTTCTTGCTCCAGATGGGAGATCAAAGGAGGTTTAGGAAATGAAAATCCTGGTTGCAGAGAAGGAATGAGACTGTATAGAATAACAAGGAGCTGTTCTTACACTTGGCCCTGATCCCTCTGTTTGTGTAAGGAGACAGGAAAGAAATACCTACTTAGGTAGAGAAAAGGGTTTCTTTAGCATTCTGGAAACAGGTACAAGGATTTGTTTGGAAACTGTCTTAGAAAAGCCTTAGAAGGCTACTATTTTAGGCCCCTAGAAGGCAGTTCACAACTAGGAGCTGAACACATGCCATTTAATGGAAAAACTAGGGAGCTGAAGAAGCAAGAACCTGGGGAAAAGAGAAGCTAGGTATCTCCCTTTCACCCAGACAGAGTACCATTCCAAAGAATTAGAAAACAATAACAAAAATGCCTAAAAGGTTACCTGTTGTACAACAAAGGTAAACCAAAACTTTTATTTTTAGGCAAGATCCTGATGGTTAAGAAAGAGGGCTCTAACTTTCAATATGCGAGCCTATACACAACAAAATGAGCATTATTTTATTTTTTTAAGGATGGAGAAAGCACTACGCCAAGTGCAGAAAAGGTTCTTACCAAGGGATACCATGTTTCCATAATTTTCCAACATCACATCTTTGTAGAGATGCCTTTGAAAATAGGTCAGACTCTGCCACTCCTTACTAGAGAAGTTCACAGCTATATCCTCAAATGTTAGCGATGCCTGAAACAATAAGTTCCTGTTGTCCAGGAGAAAACCCCACAGTTTCCTCAGGAAACAGAGACAGAAGAAAGGAATTTATAGGGAGAAGGTTTATAGAAGTGAAAGACTGTTACTGTTTGGTTGATATTTAGAAATGAAGTGAAAGGGAACACAGGCTTTTAATACTGAAAAATAACAAAAGAGGAAACAATCTACAAGTGGTTTGTTCTCCAACAAAATGTTCCTTATGAGAGGGAGCATCTTGGTTTGAGATTTGTGTAACCATATAATGTAGTGAAAATAAGGCCAGGGGCTGGAGATGTGGCTCAAGCGGTAGCACGCTCGCCTGGCATGCGTGTGGCCCAGGTTCGATCCTCAGCACCACATACAAACAAAGATGTTGTGTCGGCCAAAAACCAAAAAAATAAATATTAAAAAATTCTCTCTTTCTCTCTCTCTTAAAAAAAAAAAAAAAAAGAAAAGAAGTCCATATTTAGGAGGTATTGAAATAGTTTCAGGAAGGATGAAAGGTGCCTCAGCTCACTTGGGCCCAGCTCATCAGTGTGGCATCTGTTTCTAGTAGGTTTTCTTGACTTCCATCTTTAGTGAAGACAGGATATTGAGAAGCTGGTAGAACTGAGGGAAGAGAAATATGCAAGAGTCAGTTTAGCATAACAAAACCTGCTTCAATCTCTTCTTCACCAAATGCAGAAGCACAGCAGCTCTAACCTAGGGGTCAAGCCTACTGTCATATGATATTCTCTTCTCCACTATTTCTCTAGGCTTAGCTTTCAGTGTTGAGCTATCAGCACTGGCATGGCAGCCAAGCCAGCTTTAAGTACATTCTCTCCCTCTCTCACTTACTACATAATTTTTTTCTGGTTTGTCTTTGAATAATCTTACCCCTCCTCAAATAGATCAGGTAAAAAGGCTTAAATTACTGATTCTCAGCTTGTACAATAACATTTCTTTCTGTATCTGAATACTGAGGTCATTTCCTCCAAAAGACTTGTGGGGAGAGAAGGGACATATGGGGGAACAGGAGATGTTGAACAGTAATATCCAGTAACAGGTCAAGTTTGTTTCTATAGGTAACTAAATGGCTGGTCTAACTTGTTAGTTTATTAGAATAAAAAATTTCCTTGTTTTACCAGAGAGAAATAACTTTTTTGCTGATACTGAACCCTTTTCTTACTAATTTCCTACTACTAAGCCATCTTCCCCACATGAATGCGGTATTGCATGCTTGGCATTTTTTTTTTTCAGTATTTTTTTAGTTGTCGACAGACATTTATTTATTTGTTTATATGTGGTACTGAGAATTGAATCCAGTGCCTCACACATGCTAGGCAAGTACTCTGCCACTGAGCCACAACCCCAGCCCCACATTTGGCATTTTAAAAGGTAAAAGATTATATAAACCTAAGAGAAATGAGAGTATTTTTAAGATGAAAAAGGAAAGCTTATCAAAATGTCCAATAGTCTAGGTATAATCTATATGAATTGGGCAAGAAGTACAGCTTCATATTATTAATTAATGGGGTCTTGCTTTATTTCTTGAAGGTCATTTCAACCTTTCGTAGCTTCAATGTTTAAGGTGACTTACGTTTCTTAACAGTTTATCCCTAAATTAAAGTCTGAATGAATTCTTTTTGCTATTAACAAACCAGCAATGTTGAAGCCATCTGTTGGTAAGAATCTAGGATCATCTTTGGTCTTAGGCATCCAAAATTATTATTCAAATTTGACCAGAACTCTATTTTAGAACTAGATTTCTTCCCACAGAAATTTCCTAAGAACACCCACTTTGGTCTAGGTTACTCTTGAGCTTTTGACCAAGACTGAGGCTATGTCTTAATTATGGTGGTTCCAGTCACTTTTCCCACTGTCTCTCTATAAAATTGCCAAGTTATTCTGTCTCAGTCCCAAGCTCACCTAGATAGTACAGAGCTCATAGCAAATATATATTTTGCCTATAATGCTATATAAAAGTTCTTTTCCTTATAACATCAACAAACTTAAAGCTCTCAATTGGCTTTTTTTTATCAACATTTTATTATGAATGTTTCCAAATATCCAGAAAAGTTGAAAAATGTAAATATCCATATACCAACCATTTATATTCTATGATTAACATTTTGCAGTATTTGCTTTTTTATCACATATCTATTCCTCTATCTGTACTTTAATCTATGTTTTGATATATTTCAAAGGAAGTTGCAAACATCAGTAACTTCAGCTCTAACTGCTCTAGCATATATATTACTAACTGGAGTAAATATTTGTTTAATTTTTTTTTAAGATAGAATTTACATGTAATGAAATATACAAGCCTTAAGTGTACCACTGGATGAATTTTGACAAAAGCATACCCCTATATAACTCAAATTCTCCTCCACATACTTACTGGGCTAGTTTTCTCAACTCATAGTGATGCTTAAGCTTTATTTTTTAGCTTTAGAATTTGAAAGGTCAGTTTCTCCTCTCTAGTTAAAGGAGGACTGGAAGACTCAGGTCATGAGTATATTTTATTTATTTTTAAAATATATTCTTTTAATTATTGATGGACACAGTACCTTCATTTTATTTATTTATTTTTATGTGGTGCTGAGTATTGAACCCAGTGCCTCACACATGTGAGGCAAGCACTCCACCACTGAGCTACACCTTAGCCCATGAGTATATTTTATTTTAAAAAATGAAACAAAATGGGCGGGGGTTGTACCTCAGTGGTAGAGTGCTTGCCTAGCTTGTGCGAGGCACTGAGTTGAATCCTCAGCACCACATAAAAATAAATAAATAAAATAAAGATATTGTGTCCATCTACAACTAAATAAAAATTTAAAAAATGAGCACCTAAGTTTGGTAATATCTATTATTTTCTACTTCTAAATTTATAATATATTCTATTATTAATTTTCATTTGATTTCTTATAAACAGAGTACTTCTCTTATACATATACATATTAGTTTCTTCTTACATATAAAAATATATTTTCCTTTTTCTTTTTACAGGTAATATATACTAAAAAGCTTACTTTTGGGTGTGCCTAGTACTCTATTCAAAAGTTCATGGCTTTCTGGGCCCAATTTTGACTCTAGAATACCATGTCCCAGCAACTATCTCCAAGCACTCCTTTAATACAGATCTTCACATATCATCAAAGCAGAACTTTGATTTTTTGGTACTGGGGATTGAACCCAGGGGCAATCGACCACTGAGTCACATTCCTAGCCCTTTTTTGGTATTTTATTAGAGACAGGGTCTCACTGGATTGCTTAGTGCCTTGCTTTTTGCTGAGGCTGGCTTTGAACATTCAATCCTCCTGCCTCAGCTTCCTGAGAATGCTGGGATTAGAGAATGTACCACATGCCCAACATCAGAGCACACTTCTAATGCTCAGACTCCCATTAGTCCATTTTCCTTCACTTGCCTCAAAGGTTCATGGGAAACCATTTACTCTTTCTTTTGCCACTGCTCTTTTATTTCTCAAGTATTTATACTATAATTAAAATTTTCAGGGTTCTTAAAATATATATAAAGAAATAAAATTTAATATATTTTCAAATTGTATATGTTGGCAAAACTGTGTTTGGCTAGAAGTTACTAAATTATACTACAAAGTTTTTTTTCCACTTTTTTAAATTGTATATTATAGTTGTATATAATAATGGAATTTGTTCTGCTATATTCATACATGCACACAAAATATCAATATAATTTGCCAATATTACTTCCCAAGCATATCCCCCTTTACAAGTTTTATATGTGTAAATATTTATGTACAAACATGTATACCATTTATCATATATATTGCTATACAGTAAATGAGTGTATGCATTAGATTTCTTTGATAAATTTCTTTATAGAAAATTTTCACAAAAAATTTGTATCTTTTTTTAATGGTGCCAGGGATGGAACCCAGGGCCTTGTGCTTGCTAGGCAAACACTCTTAACACGGAGCTACATTCCCAGCCATTTTTATAAATCTTTGTTTTTTGCCTCCCCAGCCCCTGTCCAAATGTGATTTAAGATTAGGGCAGAAACTGAATAACTAAATTATTCTAAATACTGATCCAAACCCAGTACAGAAACATGAGAAAGCATTCTATAAATGCTCAATAATGAATAGATTTTTGGATCTGGGAGGACCCATTCTATGTCCCTACTCTATTCTCAGCTGCATGACTCCTGTCACAATAGCTGTGCACCTCACCTTTTTTCTGAAGGAGCTGGGTATTGCTGGGAATGCAAAGTAGCTGGCATGGTGATCCTGGACTCTCATCTGAGAGCACAACCTATTGCAGAATGAAAAATGAATTCAGAGAGGTTATAAGAAAAATACATGGGAAGATGCATCCAATCATTAAGGATTTATCTGTAGAAAACACCTCCCAGAAATACCAAAAGAGGGAAGAAAATCAAGGACTCAGTTCTCAATATACATTATGAAAAACAAAAATGGCACCCAGTTATTCTCTAAAACTGAAAAACTAATAATCAGCAAGTAAAGCAGGAAAAACAATGTCAAGAAGGAGAGACCTTCACAAGGTCAGTCTAGGCCCAACACACTCTCACTGCTTTCCTTCTTTCTTGGACTCACTTCTCTTTTCTCCTCCTTGTGATGTATATTGTAGCCTCCCCTCTTCTTACCTGCTGCATCTTTTTACTCAGCTTTCTTTTATAGTCTTCTACCACTGTCCTTATTTTCTTCTTGATGGTCAGATCTAGTTTCCAAACAAATAGTAATGAAATGGCTTCTGTATTTGCCAGTCTCCTTTTGGGGACACAAATCTTGGTGGTACCAGCAAAAGGAAACTCCTTGACTTACAGTGCAGCTGCTATCTGACTTGATGTTTTAAACATTGCTCTGGATTTCAGGTTCATCATCAACAAAAGTCAGGTGTGAACTCACATCTTGCTTTTCTACATATTCGGTGAAGGAGAGCAAAAAGAGAGGAGAGTGACCATGAGAAGGGGAATAAAACAGAATCATTGAGGACTTGGTGCATCTGTGGAGATGAGGGAGCACAGAAAGACAAATTGAAAGTGTTAATATTCCTACAATACAATCTCCATTGCTAACACCTTGGCCTGAGCAACCATTATTATCATTCCTTCTTTCCATTACTTCAATAGCTTCCTAACCACTCTCCTTGCTTCTATCCTTGCCTTCCTTTTCTCTTCTTAATACAGCTGTCTGAACATTCCAGTTACAACTTAAGTTGGTCATTTCATCTCTGCTCAAGACTCTCCAATTTTACTGAAATGAAAGCTGAAGTCTTTTGGCACAGGGCATTAACTCTTCTGCTCCCCCAAGATAAAAGCTTCAAGTCTTTTAGCAGTCTATAGGATGTGACCATTATCTCTGACATCCTCTTCTACTATTCTCCCCTTCATTGAATCCCATTCAGCCACAATGACCTTTATTTATTTTTTATCCCCCCCCCCCCCATTCCAGGCACATTTCCATCTTAGGCCTTTCTACTAGCTGGTCTGTTCACTTCAAGCTATTGCCAAATGTTGCTTATATGTCATCTTCCCAGGGAGGTCTACTTTACCTTATTTAAAATTGCAACCTACTTTCTCCTTCTAGTCCTGAAATACTTTACCTTGCTTTATGTTAATTCTTCTCTAGGCACTTTATCACTTTCCAGTATGGTGCATTAGTTCTTTATATATCACAACCATCATTTATTGTAGTACTACTCGCGCTAAAATGCAGGCTCCTAGACTCGATGAGGATAGGGAGTTTTATCTGACTTGTTCACTTTTGTAATCCTAAAACAGTATCTGCATTTGTAAATGCTGGATTAAAAATTGGCTGAATGAATGAATATATGAATGGATGCTAGAGATATGAATATAAACAAGAGGTCAGGATACCTTGGGAGCTAGAGTAAGAGGAAGTGAGAAAGAAATCGGCGAGAAATGCCAAGACTAAAGGAGGAAACCTGCAATGCACCCTCTTCCCGCATCTGACAGCAAAGCACCGCCCGCTCAGGGCCCGCGACCTCAGGTGACCCCGGAGCGGGCTGGAGTATTTAAGAAAGGCTGGTAGCGGCTCCCGCTCTTTCCCACTAGCCCATTAGCCAGTTAGGGCACCTGCGGTGGCAGCTCGAGAGCTCCTGGACTGAAGACTCCGTCCCACGCTGCACTAAGGCCCAGACCTTACCGCGGATACTCTCCGCAACAAATGAGAAACACAAACACAACACTAGCTCCACTTCCTACTCGGCCTGGATCATCACTTCCGGCGATTTTCTAGGAAACGCCTAGACTCTCTGGTTGAGCGGTTTCCTAGAAATTCTCAGTCCTCGCGGTTCCTATTTCGAGGATCTTACTCAAGTTTGTGGAGGGTGGAGGATCAGGGTAACATTGACTCACCGTCAGGGAGGGAAATCAAGATGGGAATGGACAGAAATTTTGTGGCAAATATATGAAAAAAGTCAACTTAGGACATAAATAATTGTCTTTTCCCCAAACAACAGTTTCTCTAAGACGATTTCAAGCTCACACAAATGTGGAGAAAAAAGTATAAGGAACCCACATAAACTCATCACTCAGAGCTAGGTAAGATTTTGCTGCACTGTTTCATGTATGGTTTCCATTTTCCTGTTGAAATATTTAAAGCAAAACCCAGACATGTTATTTCAACTTCATCTCTTAAACGACGTGGACATTTTCTTATGGAATTACAAGACCATTATTCCATGTAGGAAAATAATCCCTTTTTATCACCTAATATGGGCTCCATATTGAATTTCTCTAAATATATTTTCTTTTTTGACTCAGGATCTAAAATCTACACGTTTAGTATGGTTGGTTATATCTCTGAATTCTTTTGCCTATAATTATTATTATTTTTTTCCAATGCTGGGAATCAAACCTGGGGCCTCACACATTCTTAGTTCTCTTTTTAAATCTAGATTTAAAGTAGTTCCTTCCTTCCATCCTTTTCCCCCAATATAATGAACTCACTGAACAAACTGGGTCAGTTATCCTAAATGTTTCATTACTGGCTTTATTAATTTGTGTTCTCATTCAATTAATTTCTCTAGCCATGTATTTCCTGTAAGGTAGATGTTAGCTCTAAAGGTTTAATTAAAGTTAGATTTAACTTTTTTGGTAAGGATTCTTCTCAGGTAGTGCTATGTACTTTTTGCCACATTTACTTCACTCTTTGTCATGCTAAATTGATCAACCTTTCATATGATGGTTTCATCCATTGATAATCTTTGCCAGAATCAACCATTTCATTAGGGATTTTAAAACTGTGATTTGGGGCTGGGGTAGTAGCTCAGTGGTAGAGCGCTTGCCTTGCATGCATGAAGCACTGAGTAGCACCACATAAAAATAAATAAATAAAATAGAGATTGTGTTCATCTTCAACTAAAAAATAAAAATTAAAAAATTGTGATTTTTCTATTCTAACATTCACCCCCCCCCCCACCCACACACACTTACTAGCCTGAATTCCTCTGTAAAGAAGGGCTTACTTTAGGGGCTGGGGTTGTGGCTCAGCGGTAGAGCACTCACCTAGCATGTGTGAGGTCTTGGGTTTGATCCTCAGCACAACATAGAAATAAAGAGATAAAATAAAGATATTGTGTCCAACAACAACTAAAAGATAAATATATTTAAAAAAAAGAAGGACTTACTTTAAACCAGTTTAATAATCTAGTGAGATAAATTTATTTACACTATTTGTTCTTGGTTAACCCCAATTGTTGTTAAGATTTCTAAAATAATTAATACTGAAATTTTGCCAGGAGTCCATGTCAAGCTTTTCAGCCTGTTAATTATACTGTTCACTTTTTTTTTACTTTTTGAAAATTTGGATATTTGATAGTCTTGGGAATCTGTTCCACTCCTCAGAAATGGCCTTCAGAGGGTCCTGTGGCCAATCTGATTTTAGGACTTTTCAGGCTAGGCATGAAGACCTGAACTCATTTAAGGCAAGTATCTTCCTCGTATTATTATTTGTCCTACATTCCCAATTTGAAAGTTATGATTATTGGTGGAGAAATAAAAGCTTATGTGGTATTAAGTAATTTTATAGGTCCCATGGCCATTATTAAAATTACCAAGTACACTTTCAGGGGCTTTTGGAAATACAGCAAATATGTCAGGCACACCAAGGAATACTCAACACCTAGATTAAGACATAAAATATTACAATTAAATTAAATTAAATATTACAATTACAATTAAATTCTTTCGGTATCCCTTCCCAATTCCTACCTCCTTCTTTCCCAGATTTACTGTTATCCTGATTTTGATGTTATTATTCCCATCCATGTTTGTATTTTTTTAGTACATACATGGGTAGCCACAAATATCATAGTGTGTAATTTTTGTATTTTACAAATTCTGTACAATTAGTTTCCCTCCATACATATTTTTTAATCTTGAAAGACTTGATTTGATTTGGGTTCAATATTTTTGGGGAAAATTGGGTATATTGTGTACTTTGTAATCAACTTTGTGGTTTCAAGATTTATCTTTTTTTTATATATATATACATGTTTTAGTTGTAGGTGGACACAATACCTTTATTTTATTTTTATGTGGTGCTGAGGATTGAACCTAGGGCCTCATGTGTGCCAGGCAAGTGCTCTATCACTGAGCCACAGCCTCAGACCCTCAAGATTTATCTTTAATGAAAAAAGTAGTTCTAACTCATTTTTAACTGCCATAATCTTTTCCATTTTTTTCTTAATATTCTTATTATTTAAACTCAACTAAGAACTTTAGCAAGTATTTGCTTTTTTTGTCTTTTTAAAAAATATTTTTAGTAGTAGATGGACACAATACCTTCATTTTATTTATTTTTATATGTGCTAAGGCTCAAACTCAGTGCCTCCCACATGCCAGGCAAGTGCTCTACCATTGAGCTAACAGCTCCAGCCTTTTTTTTTTTTTTTGTTCTTTGATTTGATATAGATTCAATTATGCTTATATTCATTGTGAGTTTTTTTTTTTTTTTTTGGTAGTGCTGGGGATTGAATCCAGGGCTTTGAGCATGCTAGGCAAGCACTCTACCTACTGAGCTATTTCCCCCACCTGGTTGCTGTTGTGGTGTTTTTTTGTTTTTTTTTTTTTTAATAATTGTTTTCTTGGAAAGTCTTCTAAAGGATAATTTCCCAGAACTTTATGGTAGAAAGGTTATTTATTTAATTAATTTACTTTTTGGTGCTGAGCATTGAACTCAAGGCTTCAACATGTGCTAGGCAAACACTCTACCCCTGAGTCACCTAGCCACATTTCTCATCTAACATAGGAAAGAAAAATCCAAAAAGCATTTGCTATTTAGAGTTTAAATGTATATAACTAAGGATAGAAGCCAATCTTAAAAGCTTACATACTGTGTGACTTCAGTTACATTACATTCTGAAAAAGGCACACTAAGGAGACAATGAAAAGGTCAGTGGTTGCCAGGGGTTGGGCAACAGAGGATGAATAGGCACAGCACAGAGGATTTTTAGGGCATTGAAAACACTTTGTATGATACTATAATAGTGGTTACTTATTATTATACATTTGTCCAAACTCATAGAATGTTTAAACCAAAAGTGAACTTTTATGTAAACCATCGATTTTGGGTGATAATGATATGTCAATGTAGGCTGCTCACTTGTAAAAAATGTACCACTCTGGTTGGAGATGTTGATAGTGATGGGCTGGCCTGTGCATGTATGGCAATAAAAGGGTTCATGGGAAATCTCTCTGTGCCTTTAGCTCAATTTTTCGGTGAACCTAAAACTGCTTTAAAATATACCATCTATTAAAAATATTTACCACTGCCTCAAACTTTGAAATATATTTTTTGGGCTTATTCTTACTACTTTTGTATATTGAATATTTTCCATTCAAATTTCTTCTGCTAAACATTATATTGAGGGGCTGGGGATGTGGCTCGCCTGGCATGCGTGCGGCCCGGGTTCGATCCTCAGAACCACATACAAACAAAGATGTTGTGTCCGCCAAAAACTAAAAAATAAATATTAAAATTCTCTCTCTCTTAAAAAAAAAACCATTATATTGAACTATAACATAATAAAGACATATTATTGAAAGATAACAGAAATACATTTTGGAAAATAGGATACATTAAAATGTTTGTGACTCTTCATAATTTTAAAAATTAAAACGTTTAAATATAGGTGACACAGCTATAAGAAGAGGCAAATGCTGATATCAGTCAAAATTGCTTTGCAGTAATTTTATTTTCAGACTCATATTTAAGTTCATCCATTCAACAAGCACTACAGTAACTGTTCTAAAGGTTTGAAATACATGAGTGGACAAAACAGTTCAAATCTAATTTTAACAGTTCAACCACTAATTCTGATTAACTAGTGCTTCCATTTTATTTATCTTTTCTCTTCGTACACTGAAGAAGATAAACATCATATTCAACCTGATCTGTACCCCAAACATGGAGAGTTTTCCCAACAAACTAAGCTGTGATTCAGACAACAGTTTCAGGGTCTACAGGGACGAATCAAAGAGAAGAGTCCGCCACAGGTCCTAGAAGGGCAAGAGGCAGGTTGCCATGGAGACCACGGAGTGGAAAGGCTCAGAGCCTAGGTAGTGTGGGAGCTGGGGGTGGGGTCCCGGTTTCTTTTATTTCACTTGGAAGTGTGGGGGGCCTTTGGACTCCCTCGGGCCGATGGCCTGGAAGTCCGGACCTGAAAAACCAGCGGAAAACACGAGGCTTCAGGGCAGGTGTGGGACTATGGTGAAGGGCGGCTCGCCCGGCTCGCCAGCCCTGCGGCTGCGGGTGAGATGAGGTGGGGTGCGGTGTCGCGGGTTCCGCCTGTCGACACATTTTTTTCGTTTCCCTTCTCTTCTGTTTTTCTCTCTTCCATTTGCTCCTCTTTTTAAAAGCCACCCTTTAATATTAAACGGTTTTTTAAAAATATTTTTATTTGGCAAACACTTGAATATAGCGTGCTTATTTCTGGGTCAGGTCTTGTGCTTTTATATTGTATGAATGAATTTAATTCTTAAAAATCCAGTGTGTGTGTTGGAGGGGTATCTGTCATTACCCTGGTTTTTACATGCGCACACTTAAACCTAGAGAAGGTAATAAACTTGCCTATGGTGAAAATGCAGGTAAACTGAGGTTAAGTAAACCTATGCGGGCTGGTGCCACCACTTTGCGTTCTTAGTCACAATACTAATCCGCCAGCACCAATCCCAAAATTCTTATTAGAACTGTAGTTTTCTTCATTTTAGCCAATATCTTTTCCTTTTGGACTGCTCTAGTCATTTGTGTCTTTAATTATTGATGTGGTACTTTTCTTCTGATATTTTCTCAAGAAAAGATAATAATGTGAAATGCAGAGCAGAGCCTCTGAACTTTCCTGGTGTTGAAAGTCATGCTGCCGATGGACACAAAATGCAGTGTGCTCCCTGGTTCAAGATGTCAGCTACTCTGGAGAAACTCTTTTTTTTTTTTTTTTTTTTTTTCCGGTGGTTCTGGGGATCAAACCCCAGGGCTTTGTGCATGTATGAATGAACTATATCCCCAGCCTGAAACCATTTATTTTTTTGATCAGTGTTCACAAGGGGTTTGGCTCACTTGAGGAGCCCTTTCTTCTTGAGAAGGACCAGGATGTCTTCCTGGAAAGACAGGATTGGATGCGGGTACAGGATTCTCTTACCAGAGAGGAGGTCATAGGAATGAGAGGAGATGGAGAACAAGATCTGAATGGAGAACAGGTAAGAGGAGGCAGTGTCTCTACTGACCAGGGGAGAGAAACAATCAAAGTTATGTCTTTCTTCAGGGATAAGGAAAGTAGGGGCAAAGGTTCTCTGTTGAGATTTTCCCATAACCTCTTTGTTTTGACTATATTGATTCAACTTTCTAGTTGAATGCTTTTGTAGGAAAGAATATGAATCTTCTTCTTATAAGATGAAATAAAAATATTATTTCCCTTTTCTCTGCAGTCCATTTAATCCTATATTTCTTCCTTTTTGATAACATTTCTACATCTAGACTCTATCCAGTGCCCAGGAAGGGAAGAATGTAGCACATGAGAAGATTTTGGCATCAGCCTTGGATTCACCAGTTATCCAGCATTGGCCTGGGGTTATCCAACCTGAAAATGTCATCCCTATTTCTTGGGTTCTACAAGAAAAGTCAGGTGGGGAGCTAGCAGGCATGCTTCTGTTTATGGGAGAGAGTTGTTGTAGTTCAGTGGAAATGAGCTATGGTATGGTACCAAAGGATGATATAAATAACTAACTGATTTCTAGATGTTACACACATTAGAATTTTAAAAATAAAACTAAGCAAACATTGGCCTGAAAGTGACTAAAAGCTACTCCTTAGATGTTTCTGAGGCAGTCCCACCTTGCTTTGGCTCGGGAGACTGGCCACCTTATTTCCTAAGGCAGGGAGTTGGCAATTTCCAGCCTACAGATCAAATGGAACCAACTACTTCTTTTTGTATGGCCCCTGAATTAAGAGTGTATTTTATGTTTTTAAATGGTTGGAAAAAAGCCACCACAGAATTATAATATTTTAAGACATTGAAAATTATGAAACTTCTAATTTCAGTGTCCATACATTTTACTGGAACACAGCTGTGCTTTTTTTGTTTACATATTGCTTTAATGCTATAATAACAGAATTGAATTACATGGTGGGCTTATCTGATCAGTTTAGGCAGGGATCCCTTGCTTAGGACCCAACCTAAGGGGGTTGTTTTACTTCTATCCTCATAGGACTTCTTATTGTCAGAATTCTTTCAGAGAATTAGACTAAGAGAAATTTTAGTTGGATAATTATTATTTTTTAGAATAGTAAATAAATGATCTACACCCAATGGTTTTTTTAAAGATAAAATAGTAACATGTGTAATAAAATTAAATGTATTACCAAACATTTGGATGAAATTCAAAAGCTCCAAACTGTTGATGCAATTGAATATGTTCTGTAGGCCATCATCTCGTGGACCTTTGGACTAATTAGGACTCACATATCCAAGAGAGGAGACAGCAGCTTTCAGTTAAATAACTTTTCTCATCTTGTACACTTGAAGCAGATGATAAACAATTTATCTATTTATTTATTCATTCACTTAATTTATATGTTCATTTGTAGAGCACATACTGAGTGTATTTGAAGTGTCAGATAGCTATATGGGCAGTAAAGATGCAAAATTGAAGGCTATTTGATTCCTGCCCTAAAGACATTTTAGTCTGGTTGGGAAAACAGAAGAAATTTTGGGAAAACAGAAGAAAATCTGTGACAACAGTCCACTGTGAAAGAAACATGTAGAGGATGCTGTGGGACTGGGGGTAGAAAGAATAGATGGTCTTTGTGGCTGGAGTATGGATATAGGGTACATAAGAGAGAATGGTTCATAGTTTGGATAACTGAATAGATAGAAATGTGCTATTCACTAAGTTTGGCAACATAGATTGAGGTAATGATCAGTTTGAATCTAAAGATGAATTTGCAAAGATGAACATGCAAAGATGTCCATGTATTCAATACCTGAGTTTTAGTTTAATAAAGTGATTTGGATTAGAAAAATGGATTTGAGAATCATCTGCTTAAGTTGAAGCTGCTAATGTAAATGAAGTAATGTAGGGAGAAATTGTTGAGTGAGAATGGCAGAGGGGCAAGGATGGATACCTTAAATTCACTTAAGTTTAAGAGGTGAGTAGAAGAAAAGCTACTGTTGAAGAAGACTAAGTAGGAAAACAGAGAAGTAGAAGGAACTTTAAAAAAAATTCTTGTTTAGTTGTAGATGGACACAATACCTTTATTTTATTTTATTTTTCATGTGTTGCTGAGGTTTGAATCTAGTGCCTCACACATGCTTGGCAAATGCTCTATCACTGATCCCCAGCCCCAACCCAGAAAAGTAGAAGGAACTTTATGAAACAGCAAGAAAGAAGTCAGAAGGAAAAAGGAAGAGAATGGTCCATGGTGACATATATCACAGAGGTCAAAGAAGGGTGACATTGTACTGGTGGTAGATGAGGTTCTACAAAAGTGTTTGAAGAAGGAGCCCAAAATGTGATTACTGAGTTTGATGCCTTCACTTTGAGAATATTACTGTTCAGACCTGAAGAGAGGCTAGATAGATGGTAAATTAGAGTTCAGGATTTGTGAAGATATGAATTTGGAAATGAAAGTGTGGAATAATGTTAGTGTTTGAATGGGTTTCTAAGTTCCAGAGATAGGAAAATGATTGATTGTGGACCAGTGGACTAACTAACACCTGATGATAGGTGCCAACTGTGTTAGTCACCTTTTTGTCACTGTGACAAAATGCCTGAGAAAATAAATTTAGAAGAGAAAATATTTATCTTGGCTTACAAGATTCAGAAGTTTCAATCCATAGTCACTGGATATCATTGATTCTGGGCCTGTGGTGAGGTAGAACATCATGACAGGCAGGATATGGTAGAACAAAACTTATTTTATGGCAGTAAGAGAGAAGGAAAGGGTGAGGGAGAAGGAAGAGGGGAAGAAGGAAGAAGAAAGAAGAGAGAGAAAAGGGGCAGGAACTTCCAGGCTGTGCCCCCACTGACCTACTTCCTCTAAATAGACTCTGCCTCCTACAATTTCTATTGCTTCCCAATAGTCCATTCAATTAGGAACCCATCAGTGGATTAATCTCTTAATGAAATCAAAACCTTCATGATGCAGTCACTTTCCCAAAACCTCTGAATATTGCTGCTTAGGGGACCAAGGCTTCAACACATGAACCTTGGGGTACATTCCAGATCTAAACTATAACAGTGACAATGAAGTACAAAACAACTAATAAGTGACTCTTAAGGGTTCAGAATGAGCTAGCCATACCAAAATGATGGTGGGGGAAAAAAGGAAGTTCTTCAAGAAAGCAATTGAGGTTTTAAATTCTGTAAGGCTTTTTGAATAGCGCATGATTCTATTACATACTACTTGGTATCTCTTCTAATTTTAATAGAAGAGGTTATGCCACAGTAGATGTAGAGAGGAAAGTATCTGATTAGAAAAGCAAAGGAAGGAGATTGATGAATTCTAGGATGCAGATAATTCTAGGAGTTTGGTTTATGAAGTCTGAATTTTTATAATGGACACTGTCAAAGATAACATAGCCAGATATAAGTTAAAGGGGTGAAAATGTTTTATTCAGTAATTACTGACAGTAGGGGAAAGGGCTGAACTCCATTCTGACTTGGGTGTTTTAAGCATGTGTGTGGGGTGTAAAGGGGATCAGTGGAGCTAGAAAAATGAAAAATACAAAGGATTAGTCACTGTAAATAAGATTAGGTCAGCTGTTTTTCAGCTGGTACCATCAAAGTTAGAATTCTAGCCTTATAATGTAGTCTAGAAGACACAGGAAACTCATTCGTTTTTTATTTTTTAATTCTTTTGTGGTGCTGGGGATTGAACCCAGAGCCTTGTGCATGCAAGGCAAGCACTCTACCAACTGACTTATATCACTAGCCCAACTTATCCCTGTTGATGATAACATTAGGAAGGAATGGCTCTCTGGTCCTTGAGAGATACTTCTGAGTTGCAAGAGATAAAATTTTAAATCTTTTTGTGGTAAATGCCCTAAGGGACGTTGGCACCTATCACCAGGTTTTAGCTAGAATAAATAGTAAATTATCCTGGCAGTGTTGAGTTTTCTCAGGCAGACATTTTAGTAGAGAGACAGGGTCATCATAGAGACATACCTTCTGTTGCTGGAAGCTATGCTAGAGTTTGGTCAATAATTTTATGCAGGGGTTTGGGTAACGACCTTAGTACTGATAATTCTGTAGTTCTCAGAAGCAGTCACTTGTTAAAAAAAAAAGTAGTGGCCATCTGGCCAGTGAACTCTTTGCTTGAGGGCTACTCCAGGAGAGCGTACTTTTTTTTCTGCTTTCTCAGAGGAGATGTACTGTGAATTGTGTGTGTGGAGGGATATAGAAAGTAGAGGGTTAGGGTATGGGTAGAAGAGGAAAGGCTTGTTACAGATGGCAGGAGGACTATGGACAAAGCCTTAGAGGAAAAGCCTTAAGCGTATATGTGAGGGTTGGTGATCATTTTAGCTTGTAAATGCAGATTGAATGCTCTGATGAAAAAATGGGGTAAGAAATTACCAGAGAAGCAAATTGAGTTGAGAGTATCAGTGGAGTTTTAGTTTTAGTTTTTAGAACACATTTGAATAGGGTTCCTGGATTCAAAGGAAATTTATTGGCAAGAGGGACTTTTATTGAACAATTGGTCCATATTGACTACACTGATTACTTTCGTTCCTCTCAGTGTCTTCCACCCCTGAATCTGCCTTAGATCATGAGAACTGCCAAGAAGACAGAGCACAGGAAGAAGTGCCATTGGTCAGCAATCCCCAGGTGAGTTTTGGTTTCCTTTCTTCTGGAGAGTATTATTCTCTGAATAAACCAGTTATACCCACTTGAATCAAAGTGTGAAATATGATATATCAAGAACTATGTAATGTTTTGAACAGCCAACAATAAAAAATTAAAAAAAAAAAAAAAAAAAACAAACCAGTTATAATTTAAACCTTCAATCAAAGTGGTCTTTGACCATATAGCTTTAAAATTTAGATGTTTAATCCTCACTTAAAGAAGGTTTATTTGATTATTTAAGCCTGCCTTTTGATTTTATACCAATCCCTTTACTGTTTTCTATATTGTCTCCTGCCACTCCTTTCATAATCTTAATGAAAGTGATAGCATTTTAACAAAATCTCCTTGTTTATTTTATGAAGTCATTATGGGATTATTCCTAGGACAGCAAGTGTTTGTTGTTTCAGAAGCTGGTGATGTTTGAGGACATAGCTGTGTACTTTACCCAGAAGGAATGGATGTGTTTAATTCCTGCTCAGAGGGACCTCTATAGGAATGTGATGCTGGAGAATTATCAGAATTTGCTTTCTCTAGGTAAAGAATTTTATTCACTTACTTTGGTTTTGCTTTACTTTTTCAACTCATCCAGAAAGAATTTTGTTTTCTTCAGTGAAAAGTGGATAGTCGAGTTATATGTGTCTTTGCCTTTCAGGGACAGGAAACTGATTCTCTGATTTGGTTTCCTTCTGCCTTGTGATATGTTTGTATACTTTTTTGTTGTAGGGTGGTTTGTTGGGGATATTATGTATCCAGAAAAGTAACATATATGTTATAAACGTGCAGTTTGCTGAATTTTCAGAGTAAAAACTCTCCCATATAGTCACCCAACATTAAGAAATACAACTTTGTCTGAACTTAAGAAGCATGTCCCTTTGTGTCTGCTTCAGATAGTACTTCTACTCTACCTTCCTACCTCCACTTAAGTTAACAATTTTACTGACTTCTAACATGATTGGTTAATTTCGCCTGTTTTTGAATTTTAGATAAATAGAATTAAACAACATGTCATCTTTTGGGTTTTGCTTCTTACATTCAACATTATATTTGTAAGATTTATTAATTTGTTGCCAGAGATTGAAGTTACTCATTCTCATTACTTATATTATTCCATTGTGTGAAAATTTTACTATAAAGAGACATTTGAGTTATTTTTAGATTTGATTCTTACAGTGCTGCTGTGAATATGGCTTTTCTTGAAAATATACATGTATTTTTGTTGTTTATAACTAGGAATGAAATTGTAGGGTCATAACATATGCCAAACAAAGTAGTTGTACATATTTATATCCCAGCAGCAATATTAATGCTTGGTACTGTCTTTTCATTTTAGCCATATGGTGGATGTATAATGGTATTGTGTGTGTTTTATTTGCATTTCACTGAGTAATTAAGTTGATCACTTTTTATTTAGATTTGTTTTATTGAATACCTATTTTGTCATGTTTATAATTAGTTTCTGTCCTTTTTTTCTTGATTTGTAGAGTTGTTTATATGTTTTGATGCTCTGAGGACATTTTTAGTCCATCTATTACTTTACTCCCAGCTTTTCTATCTCCTCTGATCTTTATTGACCTCTTAACTGCCTGTAAGTTTAGGATTAGGCTTTGGAGTAGTTTTATTTTACTTTCTAGGTAATTGTATCTTGTTATCTCCTTGCAAGGAGCACTTCAATTTCCCAAACCTGTTGTGATCTCCCAGCTTGAACAAGGTCAGGAGTCGTATATTCTTGATCCACAGGGAGCTGGGTTAAGAGTGGCTCCAAGAAGCTCCTGTGTAGGTATGTGAACCATAAAGAATCTGAGAGTTTCTACCTTATCTTTTCCTTTGTCTTTTTACCTAAGGACATATCATATAGCTCCTTCCCAGTTATATCTTTCATTTAAAATCTTTAGGAGGAAAAACCAAAAAACCTACACCGTGGTTTCAACCTGTATCTTTAAAAGTATATGAATCCCTTGCATCCTGGCTGACTGTATTTTTTTACCACTTTAGATAAAACTTTATAATCTCCATTTTGTTCATACTCTTAACCTACAATTCTTAGTGTAATGGGATCTTCAATTCAGTCTTCTTTGATATTCTCCAGCTTTGCTTTCAAAAACATATTTGGCCTATTTTTATAAATTATTTTTCTGAGTGACATCTAAGGACCACCTACATATGAAACAATGGGAATGCTTATCGACAAGATATTACCTGGGGCAAGCTAGAATCTGTGCTTTTATGAGCTTCCAATATGATATGCCCATTAAAGTTTGAAAAACATTATTCTAAACTATGAGCTTCTTGGAGAGGCTGTAATCATCACCAGAACATATGCTGTATAATTCATGTTTAATAAATGTTTATTGTAGGAACACAGAAGAAGCCCATAGGTATACTAGTTTCTTAATCTAGGTGTGAGGGCAATGATTAGAATTTATGGATATGATCATTGCAATGACATTGTCCTTATGTTAAGGATAAACCTATTTTGGATTTTGATGAAAAGATTATTCATGGACATAAAATAGGTAAAGTTTATGGTAAAAAAAGTTAGATAAAATAGATACATGACCCAATTATCTGAAAGTTAATAAAATAGCATATATAACTATTTAGTTAATACAGGGTAGCAAAATACTTTCTAAGAGAATTAAAAAACAACTCAGTTCTGGTTTGACCAGAGTTGAATCAGAGTTAATCAGGGGAGGTTTCCTGTAGGAAGGGAGTTTAGTGATTTTCTGTAGGAGAGAAGTTTTGAATTATATTTTGAAAGAAAATACTGAAAATAATCTAATAGCTTGAAGAGATTGTGTTTAAAGTGAGATATGTAACATTAGGGTAGGTTGAACTGATTTGTTGAATTTTATTTCATCCTGAGTCCTTATGGTGGTATCATTTGAGATATAACCTATAATTTTAGCTCTACTAAGTTCAATTTGGAAGGTACTCTGAAGGTGTAAATCCCTATTTTTTATAAGCTTAGATTTTTTCATTCACCATTTTGCCTATATGTGGGTGTGTGTATGTGTATATGTAGCACAGGTTGTGAATATGATGAATATGGAATATGTACACACATATACATATATATTTGCTATTACTTACATGTATATGTAAATTAGAAATATATATATATATTTATATATATATGTATATATATAATTTTTTTTCTTTTTTTGTGGTAGTGGGGATTGAACTCAGGTCTTTATACATGCTATGCAGGCATCTACCACTGAGCTACATCTCCAGCCCTTTTTAAACATTTTATTTTATTTTGAGATGGGTCTCACCCTACCTCAGCTTCCTGAGTAGCTGGGATTATAGGTATGTGCCACTGTGCCTGGCCTGACCCAGTATTTTTAAAAATTAATTTTGTCTCGATTCTTTCCCCATAGATTTAAACAATATTTTGGTTTGAAATGTTTTATCACAACTCATCGTACTTTTTCCACATAATCAATCATTTATTTATTTATTTATTTATTGCTACAGCTACACAAGTGCAATAAACAAGTGACCCCCCCCCCCCTTTCCTTTCTTTTTTAAAGATCCAGGTGTTAGAACCAAGATTGGGGATGAAAACTCAACTGAAAAACTTGAAAAACTAATGTTTGAAAATAAGGAGGCACACTGGGTCATGAAAAGTACCCAGAAGAATCAGTGTGGAAAATCCATAGGAGAAACACTGAAAAATACGAATGAAAATTCTAGGAAGGTGAATGACAAAGCTAAGAAAATTATGATGGATGTGTCAGAACTAAAAGGTAAAGATCTAAAGGAAAGTTTGACTGAAAACTTGGAATATGTCATATGTAAGAGAGTTCCTAATGGGTGTAGTTTCTGTGAATGTAGCACAGGTTGTGAAAATACCTGTTGGCAGTCAGACCTTATTCTTCATGAGGAAATGCATGTCAAAGAGAAAGCTTGTGAATGTGATGAATGTGGAAAAGGTTTCAGGGTGTCCTCAGCTCTTACCTTACATAAAAGAATCCACAGTGGTGAGAAGCCTTACGCATGTGATGACTGTGGGAAAGCCTTCAGCCAGAGCTCTGCCCTAACCCAACATAAAAGAATCCACAGTGGGGAGAGACCATATATGTGTGACCAGTGCCACAAAGCCTTCAATGGGAGCTCAGATCTTATTAAACACAAGAGAATTCACACTGGAGAGAAACCTTATGAATGTGGGGACTGTGGGAAGTCCTTTAGGAATATCTCGGCCCTCACTGAACATCACCGAATCCATACTGGAGAGAAACCTTTCGAATGTAATGAATGCTGGAAGGCCTTCAGTAGCAGGTCAGCACTTTCTCAGCATAAAGGGATTCACAATGGAGGGAAGCCCTATGAATGCAGTGACTGTGGAAAAACCTTCAAGACAAGGAATTGTCTTACCATGCATCAGAAAATTCACACTGGGGAGAAGCCTTATGAATGTAGTGAATGTGGCAAGGCCTTCCAGTTTAGGCACTGCCTTACCATGCATCAGAGGATCCACACTGGAGAGAAACCCTATGAATGTACAGAGTGTGGGAAGGCCTTTAGTGGTAGTTCAGACCTTACCAAACACAAGAGAATCCACACTGGAGAAAAGCCTTACCAGTGTGCTGAGTGTGGGAAGGCTTTCAGTTGCAGCTCTGACCTTACCAAACATAAAATAATTCACACTGGGGAGAAACCATATAGTTGTAATCAGTGTGGAAAGGCCTTTGGTGGGAAGTCAGACCTTACCAAACATAAACGAATCCACACTGGGGAGAAGCCTTATGAGTGTCAAGAGTGTGGAAAAGCCTTCAGTTATAGCTCAGGCCTTAGACACCACAAGAAAGTCCATAATGGAGAGAAACCCTTTGAATGTCATGAGTGTGGGAAGACCTTTCATCAAAGCTCAGAACTCAATGTACACAAAAGACTCCACACAGGAGAAAAACCATATAAATGTGAAAAGTGTGGGAAAACTTTCAGGGTGAGCTCAGATCTCAATGGGCATAAAATAAGAAAGCATACTAAAATCCCCTGAGTTTGCAGATGAAAAATCATTGAGTCCAATATGCTTTCCTCAACCTTATGCACATCTACCTCCTTGCAGCAGTTGATACCAAGGAGACCTTACTTTTTGGAGATATAACCCTGATTAATATTGTATCTTGCCTATTGTTATTCTCATTGCTCTTACCTTACCCTACTTTTCCCCCATAGCTTTTAATAACTAATAATATATTTTATTTATGCTATTTATTTGTATGTATATTATCTTACTACTTTGATAGAGTATAAACTCCACGCAGGCAGGAAACCTTATCTTTTGTTAACTGATGTATTATTATTCTAAGCCACTAGAATCTTGGCTGATAAATGGCAGGAGGTTGTGGGGGTGAAGTGGAGTGGGGGAGGAGGAAAGAAACTCAATAAATAGTTTTGAATGAAATTAATTCCTTGGTTTCCATGATATGCTGTTTCTTGGTTCCCCTTTTGTGTTTCCAGCTGTTTTTCCCCTTTGTCTTTGTTGACTACTATTGGTCCCCTCATCCATAAAATGTGGCTGTATATCATTATGCTCTGTTATTTAAGAAAAGAGTCTTCATTGTCTGCATTGCCTAGTTGCCTGTATATTCTCCTAACCTTCACAACAATCTTGTTTGACAAAATATTACTCTGTTCTCACCTTTATGTCTATAATGTGTTTAATGTAAATAAACTATACACATGCTATTTCTGTATTAGATTGGGCATTTCAAGGCATTATCATGGAAGGGAAAAAATAAATGTGTTTATGCCATTCTCTTATCTGAAGGTCAAGAAAGAAAGAGGTTCTTTTATCTCAAGAATGTGAGCAAAAAATATCAATACTGTATTTAAAATCTATACTAAATCCATTTTTTAAAAAAACATGTAGGTAGTTCCCTGTGTGTACTATTGCATCCTTATAGTATGGACTCTAGACACACTTTACAGAGCAGTCAACAATATTCTTTAGAAATGTAGATTAGGTAATGTACTTAAAATTCTCCACTGGCTTCTTGTCACTTTTTCCTCCTTTTTAAATGGAACATTTTGTCGCATTTGCTAATTTCTTCCTGAACCATTTTAAAATAAGTTTAAGATATACCACCTATCCCCAAACACTTCAGTATGTCTCTCCTGAGAATAAGCATATTTTTTCATAATTGTAATGTCACTTTTATTCCTAAAAAATGATTTATAATTCTTATTGAATTATAAATTACAACAAATATCTTACCTATATTCAAATTTCCTTGTTGTCCTTAAAAGTCTTTTAAGCTGTTTTCTCCCCCCATCAGAATTCAATTAGGGTATACACTTTGCAATCACTACATTTTTTTTTTTTAGTTTATTTTGATCTAGAATCATGCTGTCTATTACTGTAGTCAATAGCCACATGTCTGCTGAGCACAAATAGAATCATGCTGTCTATTACTGTAGTCAGTAGCCACATGTCTGCTGAGCACAAGTGAAAATGGCTAGTCTGAATTAAAATGCATGACAAGTGTAAAATACATAATCAGTTTTGATTTCATGTAGAAAATAAAATTCTTAATTTTAATGTTGATTAATGCTGATATAATAATTTGGATATATGGGTTGAATAAAATATAATTAAAATCAATTTCAGCAATTTTTACTTTTGGCACTAGAAAACTTAAAATACATATGTAGCTTATAGTTGTTGCTTACATGGTATTTCTATGGGATATTGTGAATCTAGAACAATGGACTTACTTTCTCTTTTATGACATTAACTTTTTGAAGAATTTAGGCAAGTTATCTTGTTAGAACATCCCATATTCTGAATTCTCACTCTTAGAATAAAAATCATGATCTATAAAGTAAAAGGCGCTGCCTGCATTGTTGTTTCTTTTCCTTGCTGCTTTTATTATAGGGAAACTTGCCTGCAAGCAAAGCAAAAGGTACAGAGGCAAAGCAAAGCTCCTTGCCTGAGCTACTAGCTTTATTTATATTCATAGGTTATCTTAGGTCATTGGTATGGTTAGTATATATTGTTCATTGTATCACTAGGCAGGTTACAGAGTTAGCAACATTATGCAGCTTATTCCTCAATTACATACTAAGTTGCAATGTGCAAGGTTAGGAGCTCTTAAGAAAGTTCATCATTGGGGCTGGGATTGTGGCTCAGCAGTAGAGTGTTCCCCTAGCACCGGCGGGACCTGGGTTCGATCCTCAGCATCACATAAAGATAAAGACAGTGTGTTGTGTCCATCTACACCTAAAAAATAAATATTTTTTTAAAAGAAAGTTCATTGTATAAAGTTACTGTTAGTGGATAGGTTTAGGTGCAGTGAAACATTGTGGTTGTCTAATAAGAGAGCTGAGTGTCTAGTGTCAGGGCTGATAAGACTCTAGCATAAAGCCTCTTCATGGAGGGCATTACCATAGCAGTTAGGCATTGCACATGTATTAGTTATCTTACTAGTTCCTGGGAGAAACTGCAGAATATTCCAAGTATGGAAAACAAAATGCTTGTTATCCCTTGGATTTTGCTCACCAGAGGAAATTCACTGTCTTATACATTGAATCCTTACACTTGCCTATGATTTTTCACATAATCCACACTAACTTTTTTGCTGTTAAGCAAACAAAACACATTACCATTTTTATAATTTCCTAAGAATTTTTCTCCTCATGATTTTTACAAGACTAGTTCCCTTAGGTCTCTGCTCACATATGATACTTAGAGACACTATCCTGGCCATCTATAAATTAGCACTTTTCATCATTCTCCTTACCTTTCTTTATCTTTCTTAGTAACATTTATGACTACCTACATTTTATTGTATATTTGCTTATTGCCTGAGTTATGGATTTAATTATATCTGCCCCCAACTTATACATTGAAGTTATAAAAGTCTCAGTATCTCAGAATGTTACCATGTTTGAAAAAAAGAGTAATTGCTCTTGCAGTCATGATGAGTCACTAGAGTAGGCCCCAATCCAGTATGACTGGCATATTTGTAAGAAGGGGAGATCTGTATATAGAAACAGGGAGAGCACCGGTGAAGATGATGGCAGAGTCTGGGGTAATAATACAAGTCAGGTTATTTCAGTGATTGCTAGCAAACCTCCAGGAAAGAGGATTGGACTAAAATTTCCCTCATAGCCCCAGAAGGAACCAGTTTACTAAAACCTTTATTTCTAATTTCCAGAATTGTGAGAAAAGAAATTTCTGTTTTTTAAACTGTCCAATTTGTGGTACCTTATTACAGCAGCCCTACGACAATAATCCATACTTCTGCATAATATATATTTTCTGCTATGTGTCTTATTTTTTTTTTTTTTTTAAAGAGAGAGTGAGAGAGATAGAGGTAGAGAGAGAGAGAATTTTTTAATATTTATTTATTTTTTTTTAGTATTTGGCGGACACAACATCTTTGTTTGTATGTGGTGCTGAGGATCGAACCCGGGCCGCACGCATGCCAGGCGAGCGCGCTACCGCTTGAGCCACATCCCAGCCCTCTGCTATGTGTCTTAAAGTTGGGCAAATTTTTAATTTTTTCAGCCAAGAAAGGCTAGCTATTACTAGCACTGAACCCTTGATAAGATCTCTTTGAGAATAATAACCATTCATTTGGTGGCAGGTTAATCACTTGGGACCTTCTCTACCTTTCAGTGGGCAGAGACTCATCCTTACAGAGATTTATATGTATTCCAGCATGGTTTTGTCTTCCCTGTTGCTAGTAGCTCAGCTAATATCATCACTAAAGAACTTAGAGTTTCTGATATATTGAAATGGTATCTTGCCTTAACATCTTAGCCCTAAAGGATTTGTTCTTGCCACATTATATATTATATAGGAATGGCCAGTCTGTTTCCCCATAACTTTGCCAACAAAATAATTAGGAAAACTTGTAAATTATATGATACTATATTTTAGGAGGAGTACACTGGTGACTGAAATTGGAACTAGGTGGGAAAGCAACTGGAGTAGTGGAGACCTGCTAGCTCTTTGGAAACAAAGGTACACATGAGTTATAAGGGTGCAGGCTAGAGTAACTGTTGATATGACTGTAATTCATTGAGGGTGAGGTTTCGGTACTTTTTTTTTTTTTTTAAATTGCTAAAGGATACAGAATTGACTAAATCTATCCCTGTCAATCACTCTGACATTCTGCTTTATATGACATTTGTAAGGAAATTAAAAGGAACAGTAGCCAAAAAGACTTATTATAATGGTTAGCATTTATTGAACACTTAGTATCCTAAATATTTCATTTGTTATATTTTGTTTAATCCTCTGTGGGGCAATAAACAGAATATTAAAATATGATCTTGGGATCTCACTCTAGATTGCCTAGGAAGTGAGCTAGTGCACCTAACCTCAGCTTCCTATAGACCAGCACCTTACACTTCCTAATAGGAGGGGCTGAAATTCCCTACCAGATAGATAGTCCCCAGGTGGTAAGTAGATATCTTCAGATGCTTCCTTCTCTTTGCTAATGTCTAAACCCAGACAGCCAGGCAATCATGTAGTTTGCTTATTATTTTACTGCAAATTGGTATTCAAGGCTATCCTTTGAGAAGGCAGAACAGTTGGGTCAGAACTAGAACACCAACCTACTTCATGTCAAATGCATGGCCTTGGTTCATCTCTGTGGGATTATGAGAAGACTCCACTGGCTCTTGTGCCTGACTCTTGGTTCTAAGTTTCCTCAGTAAATTTTATTTCTTGGTTTGTACTACATGATATTGTAGATTTCATCCCCAAACCCCTTGTATCACATCCTTGCAGTAAATTTATGAGTTAGAGATTACCATTTATGTTTTCAAGGTGAGGAATATGAAGCACAGATAAGGTCACATAGGTAGTAAGTGGTAGGATTTGAAATTGGGTTGTTTGATTTTTGAGTCAATGATGTTAAAAACTTTGTTGAATAAAAGGGAACTGTCAATTTATAAAGAACTGAATGAGCACTCCACTATTCAAAGAAGCACCAATGGAGAAGGTCAGTTCTTATGCAGAGATTCCAAGTCTGAGTTGGAGCATGTAACCTGGCTTTTTCTTCAGTGGTGACTTTTGAAGTTTAGGCTCATGTCATCTCTGGCCAGCTCATGGAAAAAATAATTTGGAAAAAGTGGCAAGTAAGATAACTGGTCTACTGAGAAGCCAGTCTCAGTGCCTTGGCTCAGAGAAGAGGAAAACCAAGACAAAGCATGGAAGATGGGTTTGTGTCTTTTAAAGTATGAAAACACTTTCCATAGTAATCAAGACTTTGTTGATGTCCTAGAATTTGACCAACCAGATTAATAGTACCAGTAGTTAAGAAAGGGTCAAGTTGAAGCAGTTCTGGTCAGATGGGGTTGAGTATTTCCTTCCCCTTATAGTCCATTGGATTGTTTTTTTAAAAGAATATTCTCAGGCTTGCCTTAAGATTAGTTCTAATAGTATTTCTTTGTCTCACTAATTTTTCTATGTCAATTAGCAAAAGCTGAAAGGACAAAAAGATCATGTACCTTTGATTAATTTCTAGAAAAATCTGGTTCAGGGCCAGAATCAGGAGGATGTATCTCAGGAGGTTATAACCCAACAGATTGCCAACAGGACTTGGGAATTAAAACAGTTTCCAAGATTTTACAGAGAACTGTCAGATGTGTACTTGTTGGCATTCCAATAGAATATTTATTCTACTGTTCAAATTCTCATTAACTCATCCTGTAATTAGAAAGAAGGCAAAAATGTTTTGATGAACCAAATAACACTATATAATTTTTACTGACATGACATGCAAATGCTTGTTTTTCAGATTCCTTTATTATCACTTCAGAGATTTTTAAAATTAAGCTTCCTTGTGTGCTTTGCCAGTCACAGAACCGAGTCATTGGTATCCAAAGCTAAACCTTGTCCAGATGCTAATGCTTTTGAATTAATGTAGATGAAAGAATTAATGTAGAAAGAATCCTCTCCCTGAACATGTCCCATGTATTGGGGATTGAACCCAGGGGCACTTAATCACTGAGTCACATTCTCACCTCTTTTTATTGATTTTGAGACAGAGATCTTTAAGTTGCTTTGGGGCCTCATTAAATTGCTGAGGTTGGTTTCAAATTTGCCATCTTCCCTGCCTCAGCCTCCACAGTTACTGGGATTATAGGCAGCTGTGCATTCAGTGCCCGGCAATATATAGATTTTTAAAAAATTTCTCTTAGTTTTCTAGTTTCCAAATATAAATATTTAGCCTTCTGTATCCCTTGGATTCAATCAATGCCAATTGAAAATATTTGGAAGAAACTTGCATTTATACTGAACATAGATTTTTTTCTTGTCATTCCCCAAACAGCACAATGTAACAACTACTTACATAGCATCTACATTACACTAGATATTATAAGTAATCTAAATATGTTTTAAAATATATAAAAGAATGTGTGTAGGTTATATGTAAATAATATGCCATTTAATTTGAGGGCATTGAGTATCCACAGATTTTAGTAACTTAAGGAGTCCTGGTGTCAATTCCCCACAGATATTGAGGGATGACTGTACTTAAATATACCTTCAAGAAATGCTCTGAGGATTTGATAATATTATGCATGTGAAAGAAAAACAATATTATCTTTCTCATTTCCTAAGTCTTAGGTGTTTTGTATGTCTTCAAAGTTAACACAAACTGAAGTTGTTGCTCCAGTATTAATCATTTAATAAGGATCTTATCTATTCTTCAGATTCAATATTTTCATGAAGATTAATAAAAATCTATTCATTTATTAATTCTACAGACATTTACTGTTTTAATTCATGTCAGAAACTGATTAGACACAGCAAAATCAAACACCTATTGTTGAAAAACTCACCAATGCTTTTCCCTCAAATACAAATACAAACAAGTAACTAAAATAAAATGGGATAATGCCATAATACTGATATAATCAGGATTTTAAGGGAATTAAGAAATAAATTAATGATATTTTGGAGGACTTTTCAGATGATACAAGATTTTTAACTAGGCATGAAAGATTGAGTAGGAGATTTTTAAGTAATACATCAAATGTCTTATCAAGATTTGAGATCAGGTGTCATCACAAAGGAAAGTTGAAATCGTTTATAATATTCACAATTTCACCATTCTATACTTTATTGCCTTCCACAGTCCTAATAACACCATAAAGTTTATATTTCTTCATGCTTTTCCTGTCCTCTTTTACCATTTATAATTCTTCATTTTTATCAAGGCTAACATGAC